ATTTTTAATATTTATTTTTTAGTTTTTCGGCGGACACAACATCTTTGTATGTGGTGCTGAGGATCGAACCCGGGCCGCACGCATGCCAGGAGAGCGCGCTACCGCTTGAGCCACATCCCCAGCCCAAACTTATGGTTTATTTTAATCGCCTGGTTAATTAAAATTTTAAGTAATATAAACCTGATACAGTTATTAAGATTCTATGATAAAGAGTAAAAAGCACACAAAGYATATGGGGTTCATAAGTATCAGTTAGATGCTGATTGAGTATCTCATTTGATTTAGACAAATTCATGAATTCCTTAAGCAGGGTAATTAGTTGTAGTAAATATTGATGTAGATGATCAAAATGACAACAACAAAGTATGAAACATTAATTTATCATGTTTTGAGGCATTTGATTATTACATTTTCTTAATGAGAAGACACATGCCTTCATACTCGCATGCTTATGAAACCAGGATTTATCTTACAATTAAATGTACATTTAATGTTTTTTTATTCCTCATATCTATCAAATCAATGTTGCATCTTACAATGGCTACATCCTAGAATTTAAAAGTACAGTAATATTAATTTTTAGCAAAGTCTGTTACTAATAAGTAATGAAGTTAGAATACATCGAAAATGCAGAGAGACATTTTAGCAGTTGATTGCTTGACACCTAAAGGTAAAGGTAAATTGCACATAAAATGTTTTAATATACCAGTCAAAAGCACCAGGATAATGCTATAGCAAATGTAACAGGACCTAAATGAAGAAAAAAATTATAATCATTATTTTAATTTTAAAAAATTGCCTAATTAAGGAGAAAAACATGGGAATTTCTGCTGATTCACTTGGTCATCCAGCAATTAATCACTTTTAGGCCAAAAGGAAGACTTCTCATCCTAGTTTATGTGAGATATTTAATGTGCACAGGGTTCATTCACGATAGATTATATGGTAATGTTAATGCCTGGGAAGAGAAAATAAGTTTTATTTCCTTTGCAGTGATTACTGAAAAGAGTTATTTTTCTGGAAGGAAAATGAATAAACTTTAAAAAGGCAGTAATTCTCCCAAACAATTTTACCAAAATAGAGACTAGAGGCTACTAAGATATAAAAACTAAAATTTTTWAAAAAATATCAGAACTTAGTCATTGAAATGCGTCCCGATACTTAAAGTCATCTCTGATTCCAATGCTGTTGCTGCATTTGGGTCCAGGCACAGAACCGATATGGGAACATTCCACAGGGTCAATTCTTTTTTTTTTTTTTAATATTTATGTTTTAGTTGTATACAATACCCTTATTTTGTTTATTTATTTTTATGTGATGCTGAGGATCAAACACAGGGCCTCGCACATGCTAGGCAAGCGCTCTACTGCTGAGCCCCAACCCCAGCCCCCACAGGGTCAATTCTTAAGTAGAAGAGATCTACTCTCATTACCTCTGTTCACGCAAAGGATGATGATGCTGGTCAACAAAATAAAAAGGAAAAAAGAAAGAAGAAAATGACCCTACTCGACCATGTATACTATTCTCTACACAAGGCTCTCTGTGACTTTTGTCTGCTTCTAACACCCAAACCCACCATCCTCTGTTGATGCTTGTTTTTCCTCTTAAAGCAAAAGTTGGCTCCAGGAGAGCAGGACCTTGTGCCTACATGYGTCCCTAGCTCACAGATGATGGTCAGCAAATACTTGCTGAATAAGTATGCTAAAATAAAAGGCAGGTCTCTATTTCCATTAAGGATATAGAAAATAATTTATACTTTTAGMATCCCATTGATTTTCCATCTGAAATTAGAAGAATTCTAAGCCATAGCAAGCAGAATTTTTAAAGTAAGGACTTGCCTCCTGGTGTTACCATTCTGAAAGGGATTTGCAAATTTAATTTCTGATATTGCTGTTTGATTAAACTCATTTCTTTATCGCCATCTCTATTTCTTCAATTACAGGAGACTTTGCTGGGGACTCAGTGTAAGGTCCTTGCTTAGCATCTTAAGTGACAGCCACCATTTTAAGAAAAATTTCCCTTTCCCGCCCAAGGCGATGTTTATCCTTCCAGCAAACACGTTGAATAGAAATAAAAATCTATCCAAGTTACCACTGTTGAACTGGTCAGCAGGTAAACTAACGTGGAAATTCACCTCTTGGTTCAATTACATGAATATGTAGTGGACAATTGTCATCTGCAGCTCTGTGCCAGAGGCTGGAAGGAATGAGATGAGGGAACCAAAGAGGTGTTAAGACACAGTGCCTGGCCATCAAAAAGCACACAGCCTGTTGGGGAAAAGGAGTCGGCCATTAGTACATGACTTAGTGGAGATAAGAAAGATTGAATGACGAAAGCAACAGGTCCAAGAGAAATCAGAAAGAGGAAAGAAAGATGGAAATGAGCCAGAATGGTTAGAGGCAAGCTGTACAAAGGAGTGAAACCTGAGCTGGATAGTTAAATGGAGAGAGTAGGAGAAGGGAGAAAGGGTAGAGGAGGACATTCTAGTTAATCCTGGAGAAAAGTGGAGTTGTACCCCATGTAGCCCACGTGGGGCTTCCTTCTCACCTGAGGATGTACATGAGCAACAATGATTGCATCTGGTTTTTGTTTAAGTATTTTCTTTGAAATTTCCCTGTGCTTGATGAAAGTGGGTGGTAGTTGAAGAGAACTGATATTTAGGGGGGAAAATAACCCTCTGTTTACCTACCTTTTTTGTTTAGAAATGTCACTTTCTATCCTAAATTGATTTGCTTGCCAGGTATTTTGGCAACTCTCTATACAAGGCAGTTTATGAACTTGTGACTGCATGTGGCCACACCTTGCTTTTCTTCTGCAAATGTAAGAAAAATACTACTAATTTCAGGATGCCCTTGTCATTTCATCATACTGAATTCAATATAAATAAAAGAGCTTTGTCTGGTTGTTAAGTTGGTTGCTTTTCACTTTAGAGAAAGCTCATGTAAGGGTACCAATGTAATATGGTGAATTTTTCAGAAGAAGGGTCATGCATGGGCTTTGTCTAAACCTTGACAGCTTGCCCACTGGGATTACATCATCTGCTCTGTTGGTTGAGCCTTCTAGCCTGGTCCAAACACCTTTCCATATTTGGAAGTAGAGGTGTATTCCATCTGCCTTGTTGAGAATAATGTTACAGTAACTTCAGCCAGGATATCCAAACCTCCTTGAACCCATCTCATGGAAAGATTTCTAGGGGTTTGCACTGTCTGCATTCCATAAGAAAATAACCTTCAAACTGTGATCCACGTGGCCAGGATTAGTATTCATGTTACTATCCATGGAAGCCACTGAAGGTCAAGGACAAAGTGAGCGTGGACTAACATTATGTATTCATTTTTGAAAGTGTAAATTCAAGTTAGCTTAAAAGTGATCCAGTGTACTGAAAGAAAGAAAAAACATTATTTTATTAATGTTTAGAAGATAACAATATCATAGGAATTAGGTAGTGAAATATCAAAAACTAAGATACTTAACAAGCCTTTGAGCAGTGTCCAGGAAAAAGAGATTATTCTTATTGCAGTCAGGAAATAATTAATTATTTGAATACTTAGACTACATTATTCATTACACAAATAAAGGGTTGACATATGAAAACAATGATACAAACATATAAAGCAAATTTCTCAAATCCTCTTCCATGAAAACATTCTTCTATGGAAACTAAYGCTCTTTAATTTAAGACAGACTATCAGTAATGACAATGACTTCATCCATGGTGAGACCAAGGAATTAGTATTTTATGGAATCATAGAAGTACATGATAAATATTTTTTCTAAAACCAGACTATATTCAAAAATGTAAAAATAGAAAAATATTGCAGGGATAAGTGAGTCTTTCAATTCAGTAAGAAACAATCTGCTATTTGTTCAACGTTCTATTGTTGATTTCAGTAAGTCATTATATAGATCTACATGAATATATACTCAAGGGTTATAAACTGAGGTGCTAGCCTTCAAAATTACTAGGAAACTTGGAATAGTTAATAAAATAACACGAGAACATTCAATTTTTWAAAAATCTGAGTATTTCAGATAATTTTCCCAATTGCTATAATCACCAAATCAAACATCTCTTTTCCTTAGCATGCACATTGGAACTTGGAAGCTGCCAGTTAATTTGCTGGCATCTCAACAAGCACTTGTAATATTTTTATCATTGTTGTTTTTCCTTGAGAAATTGTGTAATGGAAATATAGCAAAGCACTGTTTATCTTGGATCTTGCAGAGACGTTGATGAAAGACAATGCAGAGAAATTCACAATGACAATCATTATACTGACCTCTTCCTGCTTTTAATTTTGTTGAATTCAGTTCACTCTCCCTCCCTCCAACTCACCTTTTGCTGGTGTAGTTCCTGCCTCCTTCCCTTTATTTGGTTCTGTATGGAAAGTACAAACACATTTTTTAAAGTGTCTCAAAGCATTTTATTGTGTGATGAGCAATGGAGTAGGGTAGGGAGGGAGGAAATAAATGGCAATATTAATGGTGCTACTCCAACTCACCTTTTGCTGGTGTAGTTCCTGCCTCCTTCTCTTTATTTGGTTCTGTATGGAAAGTACAAGCACATTTTTTAAASTGTCTCAAAGCATGCATTTTATTGTGTGATGAGCAATGGAGAAGAGTGGGAAGGGAGGAAATAAATGGCAACATTAATGGTGCTACATATCATTATGCTGTACATGAATTATTAATTGGGGAATTATAATTTAGAGTCACATTAAACTTTAATAAAAACAATAAGTGTGATCTTTTTTAAAAGTATGCATTAGAACAGGCAATAAATGTCTTGTTAAAATACACTCAACTAGCCAGCTATGGTGATGCACACTTGTAATCCCAGCTACTGAGGAGGCTGAGGCAGGAGGATTGCATGTTTGAGGCTATACTGGGAAACTTAGCAAGATCTTATCCCAAAATAAAAAATAAAAAAATGACTGGGGATATAGCTAAGTTGTAAAGTGCCCCTGGGTTCAATCACCAGTACTGTCCCCCTCCACACCCACACTCCTCAGTTACAGAGGAATTATGTTATACAAACACTGGAGTAGAACTGAGTATAACGTGTGGGTTACTTCATTTTAGATCCCAATAAGGGATTGACTTTTTAGAGAAATTTGAACCATATAAAGTTCATGTGGACTTTGGGATATTATAGGAAGATACAAAATATGCAATTATGATGTATGTAGTTTCAAAGTAAATGTTTTGGTGTACATATGAATCTTCTGGATTGGATTTAGTGGTAATAAAAGAAGTGGCATCAAATTTTTATCAGCCAAGATCATCTAGTTTGCATTTTTTTCTGATCAGAATCATTCTAGTTCAGACACCTACAAATGGTATCTGATCTGACTCACAGTCTATGACAGGAAATAACTGTTTCAAGTTATGTATCCTCTCTCTCTTGTTGATTACAGACCCAAATCTCAGTTAACTATGAAGGACAACTTTAGCAGAGTTTGAGAGGAAACCTTTTAGYTACAGGAGGTCAATGTTGTGCAATGAATAGGAAATGTGGCATAATAAGAGGAATTTTATAGTGACCCAGTGACAGCATCTGATCTGAAGAACAGAGGGGAAAGGTTTATCTGTAATGATCAGTAGGTTCTCAGTATCCCCCAAATAAATCTGTATGTGCAAGACAACATACCAAGGGAGAAGATCCTAAGAAGCATGCCACACATCTATACCAATTTTAATATCAAGATCTACTAGAAACTACATCTGAGCTTGCCCTGGCTTGAACTCATATGACTCTGAGTCTATTTCATTCATTTGGACACAGGAATACTCTTCTACACTATTTAAATTTCAGTGTGTGGATCTAGTATTCTTAGCTGGACAAAGGGGCTTCTGTGAGCAGCTAGATTTCTAAAACTGTGCTCTGAGGGGAAAAAAAAAGATGTCTTCAGAATGGAACCGCTTCATAATCCCCTCATAAATTTCCATGCAAAAAGACCAGAAACTGAGGCCTCATTCAACTCTTGCTTTCACCTGGGTTGACCCACAGTCTACAGAGACACCCTCCCCCACTTCATACCACATTGTCAATTCAAGTAACCCAGGTTTAATTCTCCACTGCCTTAGGGGTTTCTTATAGAATTGCCTAATGCTGTCTTGTAGTAGTTATTCTCAGGGTTATATTTTACTTTTTACTTGACTGAAAACAAACAATATAGGATTATATGTCTTATTTGAAGCTCCACACGTATCTGGTCCAGTATGTTTGCCCCTAGTTATCAGTAAGCATTTGATAGACAGCTTTGCATCCTTCTCAAGGGTTAGAGTACCCTCTGGGGCTGTGCACATAGCAAATAACCAGCAAATAATTGCCAGTTTCTCATCCTCTTTAGGGAGGAAGAGTAACAAGAAAGAACATTTTGGTGTTTTCGTGGGAAAGGCACACGATATTGGTTGCTTCCATCTTGGGAGCTATTAGGCAGAGGCAAGCAGACAAATTATTCTGAAGGGCTGTGTTGGGGGTTTAACTTGGGCTTGCCATTATTTCAATTCTTTTCTCTTCCTTTGGTCCATGCATGTGTAAAAACTGGCTTCATGTGTTATATGTTGCTGGGCTCTGGGTTGACTTGCCAAGGATTTCTCTGGATCTCTATATTCATTGTTTTTTTGTTGCCACCTGGTGGACAATGGAATACTAAGAATTCAATAAATTGGTCCTGATGTTGAGTTTCAAAGCTCCCCAAACCTTTCTGGAAACTCCTCTGGGGACTTTCTGGAAGTGCCCAATGGTGACATAGTTCAAGTCGGCATCTCCCAGGTTCCAGATGGATTTACTCTCCACTCTCACAAGAAAAAGATAAGCTTTGTTTGACTTTCACTGTTAGGGAGGGAAATCCCATAAATCCTCCAGCCTCCACCAATATTAAACTTGAGCATAGCAATAATTTATGCATTTCTTGAGGGAATTTAAAATAATCACTCACATAATATATATGAAATGTCATTCAAATCAGATTAATATGAAAGAGTTATATAAACACAATGGATTATTTTGGTTACCAACTTATCACAATTGTCCAAGGTCTCGGTAGGAGTTAGGTTAAAGCTCACGGCATCAGTGGAAGCCAAACCGTGCTGGGATGGACGTTCTGTATATGCAGCCCAAATATGAGAGGCAGCGTTTAACTCACCTTCAGGTGGGGGAGCTGGGGCCACCACTTCATTTTCTACAAATAAAAAGAGTAATGGAAGCGTTAGTCTCACTTCTCAAAAAGAAAAGCTGCTTCCCATGTTCCCAAGATGCTCTCTACTCTGGAATACCATCTAACCTGTGCATGCTGACAAAAGACCATCCAGTGGCATCAAGAGACCCATGACACATTGCTTTTGGGTGTGAGGTGTCAGGTAAGAGATCTAAATGGTATTATATAGATTTCCAGGAGGTGGAAGAGAGAGTGATTAAAAGAGCACAGGTAACACAGGGAGCCAGGTCTCCTGCCACTTGGTTGCCCTTTCAGGAAGCCACGGACAGGGCATTAGATAGTACTAAACATATTTTCCACTCTGTAAAATGGGCCATGGCACCCATTTTATATGTATAGGGCTCCTATAAGAATGAAATGAGCCCCAGTGAGTGGGGCAGGCACATCCACAGAGTCTAAGGTGAGATTGGTGCAGAAAGAGACCCCCTTTCCCCAGAGATCAAGGGCACCAAAGTATCTGTAACATTGTCCTACCTGTGTGAGAGGCACTTTCTGAGAGATGATGAGACCAAAGTCCTCTGGCTTTGTAGCTTTTAGTTTTATTACAAAACAAGCCACCGTTCACTGGGAAACAGAATGAACCTCTCATAGATCTTTCTGGAAGTGCACCTACCCAGAGTAGATTTCTACCTACACTTGTCCAAAAGTTTCAAAGCTCTGATTTTGAGGTTTCACAACCTGGCGTTGGCTGTCCAGTATGATAGAGCAAACTGGCTACAGAGTATGTGAAAGAAACTTCTATTAAGGAATATATGATTTCTGGGTAGCTAATGGCATATCCATAGCCAAAAAGCATGAAATTTCCCCTTCCTAAGCCTGCAGATGCCCAGAAGTAGGAATTAGTGAGTGAAACAGCTGCTTCAACTCTAGGACAGGAAGAGGCAGTTAATGAAAGTGATTTCCTTTAAAACAATTTTCCACTTGATCATTAAATAAAATGTAAAGACATAAAAGGTTTTGTATTATAGTCACATTGTGGGATACCTAGGAGCCGGATCTGTTTCAGTGTCTGAGATTTTTCACATTCTTTTTTCCACATGTGACTCTAAACAGAATATTAACCCACAATGAGCAGTTTGGCCAAAGAGTCATCACTGTGTGTAGGCTGAGTACCCTGTTTTAGTCTAGTCTGGCTGATTAAATAAGCATAGAAAAATGAATGGATTGTACTGTAACAAGAACTAAGAAYAGAGGATACAAGCTGTCRAGTTGCAACAATACCTTTTATCATCACTAATATTTTTGTGCCTGGTACAAACTGCAATTTGTTGGTTTGTTTTAAAAAAAGACTATTTTTGAACATTCAAATGACCACATATAAGTATATTATTATTTACTAATGAATGAAAAAGAGTATATAACCCAAAGCAGAGGGAAACCACATAACCATACAGGCTGGCCAAAGATAATGCAGCAGGGTGTGATGTAATTCACAGACAGAGTGAAAAATCTCAAGACACTGAGTGAAAACACCAGTGTCCCTGAGATGGTATCAACAGATAGGCTCTCGCTTCTCCACCACATCATGGAAAGTATCATAATGCCATTGCCAACCAGAAGGCAAAACCCTCGGTCTAAGCATTTTATTTTCAGAGATCTGAGTGCAGAAATGGAAATCTAATATTGACAGCTTGGCTTTGGGCAAGTTGTTGAAGCACATGAATTGATATCAGAATACTGAGAGCCAGAAACCGGTTTCTTTGACACATTATCTTCTGGACTGAGCCACTGTCGCACAACGCCCCGGGACCTCATCCTGGCTCTTTCTACAGATAACTTTCTCTGCCCCTGGTCTCCTTTCCCTTCATGGCTGCAGAAGTTATTTATCCTGCCACTGTGTTTCATCCTGATATTCTACTTGAGAGGGTCTGTTACCTACTGGGTTAGGAACTCTCTCCAGGTTAGCATTGAAGCTGGTGTCAGTGGGCACTTCCTTGCTCTCTCTCTGTAGTGCCCAGTGGCTCCTCTATTCTAGAGCTGTCTTTCCTGTTCACCTTTTCACCTTTCTGTCCCTGAAAAAAACAATGTTCTTCTTTATTTCCCCATCAGACCTTCTATTTTTTTTTTTTTTTTTTTGTACATACAGTTAAATTAGACTGACGTAGTTTGAATCCTGACTGTATGCTTTGTTAGGTATGCGATCTGGGATGATTCCATGATCTCTGTTAGCCTCAGTTTCTTTATCGGTGAAATAATAATAAATGACCCCAAGGGTGTAATTCCCATGCAAAATGCATAACACAGCTCCCGGCAGGTAGAAAGAGCTCTGTCATTAAGAGCACTAGCTATTTTCATGGCTATCCTTTGGCAATCTTCGTCTTTGTAGTACCTCTTTCAAGGCTCTCTAAACTAATTACTCCATTGCATTCTGCCTTAATCTCTTGGCATGCTGGACCACACCATAATATACTATTTCTCGACTATAATTTAATTATTTTCCAGAGTCTCAGCCTACTTATATCTCTTTTGATCCCCAATTCAACAAAAATAAGAATGTTTCCTTCCTTTTCTAACTCCCTGGTATCTCATTTTGTTTCTGAAAACCCATTAAGTGTATAGCAAATTGATTTAAATAAAAAGAATTAAGGAGGGCTCCTCTGCTGGTTGCGTGTGAAGTTGTTATTAAGTGTGTGTATCAAGTAGGCCATGCTGTGTTATTTCCATTTCATAGATGAGGGAATTGAGGCACACCTCACTCATACAGATAGGGAAATATCCTATGAGGCTATGTGTCCTTAAGAATAAGACCTGTCAACTCAGGACATAGAATCTATGTCACAAAAGCCCATTTTGTAAGGGCAACTAGGGTTGCTTAAAATCCAAGTAAGACCCAGGGTGAATTCTAACTAAATAAATTAGAATCATCTTAGACACAGAAATTATAAATGCCCTGAATRTAAATTCCTCATTTCTATCCATTTCTATTATGTGTATAGGGGCCATGGTCTATGTACTAGGTCAAAAATCAAATCAATATGAGAATCTAAAGGGTTTAATTCAACTTCCTCCAAATCCACAGAATTTTGGTCATTAACAGTCAACAGATAATCCAAACTTGGAAACATATAATTTGGATATTAATGCTAAGACATTTGTAGGATGGTTGCAGGAAATGGAAACTGGAAAATGTATGTCTGACTGATAAATAGGCAGACTTCTCCTTTTCAAAAACCACAGATTCCCCATTTCTTTATATCCAGTGAAGGAATAAAAAGTTAACAACTTGTTGGCACCAGCTAGATGCAGGACCTATATTATATTAATTCTTATAATTCTTCTTCTTCTTTTTTTATTCCAAGGATTGAACTGAGCCACATCCCCAGCCCTATTTTGGATGTTATTTAGAGACAGAGTCTCACTGAGTTGCTTAGTTCCTTGCTCTTTGTTGGCTTTGAACTCTCGATCCTTCTGCCTCAACCTCCCAAGCTGCTGGGATTATAGGTATGAACCACCATGCCCAGCTAATTCTTATAATTCTTTAACTCTAGGAAGTTAGGACTATGATTATCCCCATTTTGCAGATGGAAATTGACACTGACAAATCCCACAGCACACGAAGGATGAAGCCAAGCTCTGCCAGGGGTCAGCCTGAGAGCCTGTGCCTTGCACTTCCYTTCTTACTTACTAATTTTAACAGAGGCAGAAGAAATAAATAATTATTTCATTTTCCATAATGAGTTGACACATAGCCTCATAGGATATTTCCCTATCTGTATGAGTGAAGTGTGCCTCAATTCCCTCATCTATGAAATGGAAATAACAGTAAAACCTACCTCAAGGGTGGTTGGCAGGAATGAATGAGTTAACAGGGGCAGGGAACATGAAAAATGTCATATATGCTTTATCACTTCATGATTATTAYCATGATTATCCTAATTCTTACTCACATGCACTTGTATAAAAGACACCAATGTCCTTCTGCATGTGCCACTTGCTACAGATCTGTCTTGTCTCCAAGTCCATGGGCTGTATGGTGTTAGAACATGTTTGGAACTGGGGTAGAGGCTGAGGAAGCAGGTGGGGACTGGACAGAGGTGGTAGGACCCTCCAAACCTTCTTTAGGATGGAAATAGTTATTGGTTTTGATGAACTTTACATGCATCATAGGTCATACAATGTCAATCAATCATCATGATGGTCTAGAAAGGATAAGAGTTCTTGGGCATTTGAAATAAGGAATTYAGCTTAACCTGGAGAGATGGAGAACCAGGAGTGGCAAAAGCCAAGCAACTCTTGACTGGGAAGGAAAATAAACTGTTACTGCTAAGTCTCAGGACCCTAGGGTGTCCCTTTTTACCTTGAAGGGACTGATCATGCACCCTCTCACTCTAACTCATGCTTTGGTCTCAGACAGATTCTGCAATGCTTTGCCACTAAAAACCATTTTGTGTTCCCCAAATTCATTGGCTGCCTCTATACAAATCATTCACTAACAGCAATGTCCATGGTGCCCCGCTGGCTAGTGAGTACCTRGGACCATCCATGCAACTAGAGTTCATTGAGCTCCCATTATGAACTAACTTAGCAAGGGCAAGGGGGTTATAAAAATGGCCAAGAACAGAGGAGATTCCTGTGTATAAGGAACTTACARATAAATGAACTGCCTTTGAGTATCAATTTAATCACCTAACCAGATCACTGTACTCTCCTAGGACATTCAAGACTCACTACTTTCATAGTTCTTCTAGAGCATCCACAACCATAGTATGCATGGGAATCACCTAGAGATGGGATCCAACWGACTCCCAGGGTCAAAGCCAGTTTCAAGATTCTGCATTTCTAACAGGCTATAGGTACTGCTAGTCCTCGACCTACAATTTGAGTAACAAGGCTGGGCCTGGGCCCTCCATGTCACCCATTTCACTCTCCCATTTCAAAGGTAGTTGTGAATGCTAACAGGTTTACAGTAGATGGGGAATTTTCTTTTTCCCTTTGGTCACAAGCTTCTTGAGGACAAGGCCCGT